GCCGTTCGATGATCAGGTATGATCAGGTGCTGATTTGAAATCGTTTGAACTTGATGGAGCTAAATCAATATTTTGAACCATGAAAATTCCATGCGTTTGGATCGGTAGCAAATAACCCCGCCGGTAATTGGTTCGTAATCGTTTAACACATCGTCCGCTTGAAATACTTCTATAAAACCACAATCTTTCAACTCTCAAAAACTGAATATCAACTGATTGAAATCAATCAGTTGTACCAGCAACACGAGAATGTGACAGGACTACAACAGTTCTCCACCAACCAGCCACTTTTAGCATGCACGCAGGACGTAGGTACGCTGCCGATCTCCCTGGAGCTCGCCGAGCTTAGCTCATGAGACACAGCACATGTGACACGAATGAGGCACGCAGAAACAAAAAAGAAACGCGAAATAATACGTCTCGAAATGTACCAGGCACCTACGATCTTATAGCAAGCGTGTCTCTATCACGCGGGATGGATGCACGTGTACATTAACTCTGCGTACCCCATTCTAGTCGAAATTCTAGTACTACACAATGTTTGTTTTGATTCGCTATGAAAGTTTGACAGATAAAATGAGGGGCTAGTGGAATTTCCTATGTTTCGAGGGGTGAATCGATTAGCTTGGGACCGAAGAGTGTACCAGAGCTGACCCAAAAAGTTGAGCATGTTTCTTCGGGACCTTCTAGTCTTAGAGTTACCTCTATGATGCAGCCCCCGCCAGGCTACTTATCGTTACAGCAACAATCAATACGAAACTAACGATTTTAAATTGTCTCACCACTTTAGTAGCCTATTGGTCCCAAGCAAACGATTAACGTACCCTATTCTAGTTGAAATTCTATTACTACACTATGTTTGTTTTGATTCGCTATGAAAGTTTGACAGATAACATCAGGGGTGTGTGGATTCATGCAGAACATGCAGGGCTGAGTGAAATAGCTTGGGACTGCTTGGGACCGTTGTTCTGGTACTGAGTGAGCCAAAAATAATAATGATTTTCTTCGGGACCCAGTGGTCTTAGAGTTACCTCTATGGTCACAGTCTGCATGTATTACCAGAACGCAGGTGGGATGCATTCCAACATCGATGATTATCACTTAGCGGTTTCGGATCGTTGCTTCGACGTCATCGCTCTCACTGAGACTTGGCTCGATACTCGCACATTGTCAAACCAAGTGTTTGGTTCCGAATACGAGGTTTTTCGATACTATCAGAATCCGCACAACAGCCGCAAATCTTCTGGTGGAGGCTCTGGATTAAAGGCAAAAGTTTTCGAAAACGATTCATGGAATTTTGTGGAACAAGTTTGGATTGCCATTAAGCTCGCTGACCGCACTTTGTTTTTGTGTGTAGTTTACTTTCCTCCGGATCGAACTCACGACTCTACGCTAATTGAATCCCAGTCAGTCTATTCGAGCTATAATGGAGATCGCTACAGCTGCTGACGAGATGATAGTCATTGGCGACTTCAATCTACCGGCAATTTCTTGGCGATCATCTTACGGTGGATTCCTGTATCCGGACCACGGCCGTTCTACATTTCACTCTGGAGCTGTAAGCCTTTTGGATCATTACAGTATCGCCACTCTGAAGCAAATCAACCACGTGGTTAATGAGAACAATCGTGGCTTAGGCCTTTGCTTCGTCACCGCTCAGGATACTGCTCCCTCCTCCTTTAGTTATATAATTCCTGAGGTCATTCCACCTAGAGGTCTCCTATGATTTCCGAAATGCTGACTACGACAGTGTCGCCGCCAAAAGCTACTTTCTTCTCCGGTTAGGGAGAGTCTTTCGCTTCCAGGTCAGACACTGTTTCTCGATTCTAGGAGCTACTTTTTTCTCCGGTTAAGGAGAGAAGTTTTCACTTCCAAGTCAAGAGTTCTTCTAGGAGCTACTTTTTTCTCCGGTTAAGGAGAGAAGTTTTCACTTCTAGGCCGAAAGTTCTTTCGGATTCAAAAAGAGAAGAATCTGGAGTAACCTACGAAACTTAATTTTATTCAACAAAATTGTACAAAGTGATCTTACGGCTACGTGTTGCATTAGCAACTTATAATTATGTAAAACTTTTACATGATTTGTCCAGGGTTTTACATATCCCTTTCAATACCGGACTTTTGACCTAATTTTGCCTATTCTATTAGCTAGGATTTCGATCGCCCTTGAAAGGGCAAATTTGTGTTATTTGGATCTTATATACTATGCCCTCTCAGATCTGGGATTTCTCGGGTTATCTTGTAAGTTTATTTCTTTTTGTAACTCAGATCTGATATGGCTCTACAAATAAGAATGAGACATTTGTAACGTTTAAACATTATAATTATATCCTTCGTTAAGGATAAACAGAGAGGGAAAGCTAAACGTAACCTAGATGCGCAAGCATGCCATGCGTGGGCGTGTTTATCCTACTTGAACGCAGAAACGTTCCTAAGTAAATACTGCAGTTAGATTATGTAAAACGAGCTCTCGCTCCTTTTGCCCTACTTTTCATTTCATATTCTTGGCCTTGGTATCAACGTCAGCTAGGGCTATGCAAACGGGATGCAACTATGTGGTTATCTTATGGTTTTGGTTTTAAATTAATTGCCTCGCGGTAACAGACAGTATCGGGGAACTTCTTTCGAATTTGGACAGGCACAGGATACTCGTCCCTGCCGATGTCAATGCAACTACCCAAACGCTCTCGCATATTTTGGCTTACGTCATTGAGCGGCACGTTCCGAAAAAAGTTCCTAAACAAGGTAATCATCATCCTTGGCAAACAAGTGAACTCCGTATGTTAAAGTCTTCCAAAAGGGCCACGCTAAGAAAATACACCAAGTACCACACCCTACAACTCAAGGACCATTATGCGAGCATCAATCATGCGTATCAACGAACCAGTCGCCAATGTTTTCAGCGTTATCAACGAGATGTTCAACGGGAGCTTCGATATCACCCGAAAACTTTTTGGAATTATGTGAATGAGCAACGAAAGGAGTCTGGCCTTCCATCGACTATGGTACTGAACGGCGAAGAAGCTTCACATCCTCTCAGAACATTTGCCGTCTGTTCTCAACCAAGTTTGCTAGTGTATTCTCGGATGAGAACCTACCTGGGGAGCACGTTTCTCTAGAAGCCAATAATGTTCCAATGTCTGGTCAATATTTGGCAGCTATCAACATCGACCTCGCTATGATAACTAGGGCGGCTTCGCAACTGAAGTCTTCATTTAAGCCTGGACCTGACGGAGTTCCCTCCGTTTTTCTCAAGCAACACATCGATAGCGTGGTGGCTCCTCTCTGCCTTCTGTTCGAAATGTCCCTCTCCAGTGGGGTGTTTCCTTCCTGCTGGAAATCAGCAGAGATGTTTCCAGGGCATAAGAAGGGATGCAAAAGAAACATCGACAACTATCGCGGCATCACATCGTTGTGTGCCATATCTAAACTGTTCGAGTTGGTCGCTATGGAACCATTAGTCTCTCACTTCAAGCAGCACTTGAGTGAAGACCAGCATGGTTTCATGGCAGGACGACCGACTACTTCCAACCTTCTGTGTCTCACGTCGTACATTACGGAGAATATGACATACCATATGCAAACAGATGTCATCTATACTGACCTATCAGCCGCCTTCGACAAGTTGAACCATCCTATAGCGATCGCCAAACCGGATAGGCTCGGTATAAACGGCAGTCACCTACGATGGTTGGCATCCTATCTATCTGATCGTCAGTTGGAAGTTGCAATCGACGACTGCCGATCTCCTTCGTTCCCTGCCACTTCGGGTATTCCGCAAGGTAGCCACCTCGGCCCGTTGATATTCCTAGTGTATTTCAACGACGTCAATTTCGTCCTGGACGGTCCACGACTGCCGTTCGCAGACGACATGAAAATCTATCTCCGAATCCGAGCCATCGCTGACTGCCACCTTCTCCAACTCCAACTCAACGCTTTTGGCTAATTGGTGCCAACTGAACCGCATGGTTGTAAATCCAACAAAATGTTCAGTAATCACGTTCTCACGGAAGAAACATCCAATTACATTCAGTTATATCCTAGAAGGCGTTGACGTACATCGTGTGAATCACATTAAGGATCTGGGAGTCATCTTAGATTGTCAACTCACATACAGCCAGCATATCTCGTACGTGATCGACAAGGCACCCAGAACGCTCGGCTTCATTTTCAGGATAGCTAAAAGTTTCACGGACATCTACTGTTTGAAGTCGCTTTACTGCTCCCTCGTCCGGTCGGTGTTATAATACTGCTGCCCTGTATGGAATCCCAATTACCAAAACAGTGTACTAAGAGTAGAGTCTATTCAACGACGATTCATCTGGTTTGCCCTTCGATGATTGCCTTGGAGGGATACTCATCGCCTTCCAAGCTACGAAAGTCGGTGCTCTCCTGGATCCTTTGTGGACTCGAAGAGATACGACAAGGGCCCTGTTTGTGGCAGACATTCTACAGGGCAGAATCGATTGTCCTTCTATTCTACAACAAATCGACGTTAACGTTCAACCACGAGCCCCCCGTAACAACGCAATGCTGAGGATACCTTTTCATCGTACAAACTAGAGTTCGTATGGTGCTATCAATGGGCTACAAAGGGGTTTTAATCGTGTTGCTTCCTTATTTGATTTTCACTTGGCACGCGAGACGCTGCGTCAGAGATTCCGTGATATATTTTTAAGAATTAGATATTAAGTTGGACTTAACGGCATTTGTAGCTTGTTACTTCTTGACTATATTGTATTTCCTAGTATTGCTATTAGTATTGCATTAGGACTAAACCCAGTCTGTTGATGTAGAACCAAATAAACAAATAAAGTCAAACGTCTTTCGTAGTGATTGGTTGGATTTTGGTGGCCTAGTAACGACCGTTTTTGCCTACTGAATAGAAGATAAATAACAGGCTTGTAGAAAAAAAAAACGCCCTTGAAATGATCTGAAATTCTGGGATTCTCGTAATTAATTTTTAATTATAATCTCATTTCATATCCTCAACAACATTCCAGATCTTCCACGATGACCCGCGAACTAGCTCGGTTCCTCGCGATCGTTCCGATCATCGTCTGCATCCTCGCCGCAGTAGCACAGCTGACCAAAGCCCAAAGCAGTAGATGTTGCGAGGACTACTGCTACAGCCGGGATCCCGACCGGAGCCAGTCGAAGCATTTCGCCACGAAAACAGCTTACGAAGTCATCCACGGATCGTCCTCCAGCCGGGAACACATCGTGCCAAGTTAGTATTGCTATGTTTTAGTAGGGTCAGAAGGTTTTTCGATTGCCCGGCTTTTGGTTTCATTTCTTGCAGATTGTACTCCGTCCAAATTTTGGCTGCTGAGTCGACACGGAACGAGGTTACCGGGTAAAAAGGATATTGAAATTTTTCCGCAGGCCTTGAACAATGTAAGTTGCAGTCTGAAATGTCAAGCAAGCATCCTGCTCATGATTGCGTATATTTCTTTTTCGGTTCTGATCTAGCTTCGCGGCTCGATCATGGACAACTACGAAATTCGGCGCACGGCTCCGGACGTGGGGCGCATGTGCCCGGATGATCTAGAGCTTCTGAGAACATGGCGATGGGATCGGAACGTCACGGTAGATTACGAATCGTTCCTTACCGATCAAGGATGGGTCGATTTGAAGTACCTGGCCAAGCGGGAGAAGGATCGCTTCTACGAGGTTTTCAACGGACCGTACGACAAGCAGCGATATTTGTTCCGTCATACTAAAACGCAACGTACGGAAGCCAGTTTCAAGGCATTCGTTGAAGGTCTGTTCGGTGATGGAGCTTACAATTTCATCAACGCTGAACCGGAACCAACCGACGATAAACTACTGAAGCCGTATGATTTCTGCCCGGCTTATGATGCCAACAAGGACAAGAATAACCACCCGGATTCCGAGTTGAACAAGTTCCTGAGATCAGCACTGTATGCTCAGACCTTGGCGGACATCTCTACGCGCTTGGGATTCCGGTATAACTTGAGTAATGACCAGGTTGAAGTCATGTGGGATGCTTGTCGGTTCGAACAGGCCTGGCATCTGCAGCAGTACAGTCCCTGGTGCAGTGTCTTCACCAAGAACCAGGTGGATGTTTTGGAGTACAAAGAAGACCTCAAGTACTACTACCAGAACAGCTATGGGTATGAGAAGAGTTCGGATCTTGCCTGCTACGCGGTAGCCGACATGATGAAGCACCTGAGTAGTGCCGATAACCAACAGGTCATTGCTTACTTCACGCACGAATCGGAAATCCAGCTCTTCCTGTCTGCGTTGGGTGCCATGAAGGATAGAAATGCTCTCCGGGCAGACAACTACGTTGGTATGCGCAATCGCAACTTCAGATCCAGTGAGCTGACTCCTTTCACTGCGAATGTTGCTGCCGTTCGGTACCAGTGTGCGGATCCAGTGGAACCGGTGAAGGTCATCTTCTTCCTCAACGAGAAAGCGCTGATGTTCGATTGGTGTCGCGTTGGACTGTGCAACTGGTCCGAAGTGGTTCGACAGTACAGGCGATTTACCGAAGGGGACTGTGCCAAGCTGTACTGTGGAGGCAGTGGTGCTTCGGCGCAGTTCGTGCATCCGGTGGTGATGACCGCCGTGATGGCCATTGCCGGAGTTTTTATATCAAAACGATGATTTTGTTCTGTGTATAGTGCTGCTAGAGACTGTCATGAAGGGAGGAGAATATATTAATTTTAGGAAATTTTACCGTTCAACGTATGGCCCATTTTTGATCGAAATCCTTCTAATGGTCTACAAGTCCTCTTGGAATTATTTTGGAAATCATATAAACCTTTGCTGGACGTTCCTTGGATTTATCTAAGTTCGTTCGAGACTTGCACAAGAAGCATTTGTTTTTCGGTCCAGCGTAGAGAGTTTCCCCGTTGCGGAAGTAGAGATTTCCTTTTCCATTCTATCAAAACTTTCTTTCCGTTAGATTCAATCTTTAAGGCTTTCTTTCCGCAGCAAAACCACCTCTAGTGAATTTTCGAAATGAATTTATTTTATATACATGGGCGATAATTGCGGCAAACCATCACTACCTATATAATGCTACGTCAACCAAAACAGAAAAACGTTGTCCACAACGTGCGCTACTCATGAGCAACCGAAGCGCGAACAAAAAATTGCTACAGATAGTCGTTCGTTCCTATAAATTGTCTACATGGATCAGCGAGTTCATACCACGTCCTACCACAATCCTAAAAGCAAGTCTCGTGTTTGTTGTTCCATAATCTATTAAATGTAAGGGCATCACATGACGCTAAGCTACAAATCTAGCAAAAATCGCTGTTATAGAAACGAAAAAAAAAAAAAAACTGGCGAACATAATTAAAACAATAGTTAAAACTGACTTACAATACAATCAAACGACGGCAGTAACGACGTATGCTTTGCTCTTGCGATGCTTCGGAGGTTTAACGGGGGGTTTTTTTTTGGCGTGTGCGCCGCTGACTAATCAAGGGCAAAACAAAGTGTCGAGAAGACTTTTTCTTCTTTCTTTTATCGTTGGCCTTCTTCTTGTTCCGGTGAGAGTGGGTGGTGCTCGAAAATGCTTTCTTTTGATCTTATTCTTTCGGTTTTGGTATGTGTTTAGAACTTCTTGAGCTCCGGGTATGGAGCAAATGAGGCGTTGGAAACCACGGTTTTCGACGGACGCGAGACGTATCTGGAAAGAGAGAGGTAGATGTAGAAACAATACGGGTTTGGGGTGTTTCGTAAATTATTTTTGTTTTGGAATTTTCTTGAGATACCTAGATATCAAGAAGACTGGCAACTCTTCCATTTTCTCAAACGACCGGTATGAGACAGGCACAATCGCGTTATCTGCCGCTCAAAGGTGCATAAATGCTCCGAACGAATTGGATAGCAAAGGTTCCATCCTCAGAAGAAAGGCAAAGTTGCCAGTCTTCTTGATATGTTGTCTTCGGTAAAATTCTGCTGTTTGGTATTTTCAAAATAGTTCATTATACAAAATGTAAGGAGTCAGTTTGCCTGACAGAAATTATGGGGTGTATTTAGAAATAAATCTTCAACGAGGTCAACGAGATCATTTCTTAGTCGCTTCTTTTAAAATTTGCGGTCGGGGGAAGGTGTTTAAAATGTCGGATTTATAAAACTGAGTCTACTGAACGTCAGAAGGGACCTCCTTAGAAGTCTAGCGCAATTCAGAGAAGTTTGAGAACACCATAGTAGAAGTCCAGGGAACTTCATTAAAGTTAAGGGAACGTTGTAGAATTTCAAACAAGATCAAAGATTTTCAGGAAACTTCGTAGAACTTTCGTAGTTGCGTAGAGGTCCTGGAAACTTTCTAGAAATGCAAGGGATGAGTTAAGCTAACTTTGTAAACGCTCAACTTTGTAGAAGCTGAACTTTGTTGAACTTCATTGAACTTCGTAGAAGTGCAGACAATTTTTTAGAACATCAGCCAAATTTTTACAAGTTCAGAGAGCATTGGAGAACTTTGTCAGGGTTACTTCCACTCACTTGCTATAAAAAAATGTTTTTCAGAATTATGAAATCACGAGATTTTATAGTGATAATTAGTACTTGTAAGTTACAAGATGAGGACGTGAAGTATGTGTTTGACACATTAAATCTGTCAATATTGCTTTCAGTGCGTCACAATCAGCGATTTTAAGACTCGTGAGTGCTCACTCTGAGTGAACGCTCACGAATCATAAGATCGCTAATTGTGACGCTCTGAAAGCGAAATTGATAGGTTTTATGATTTGATTGATTTCTTTATTATAGAGACTTTCAGCCGTTGGCTGGTTCGTCTCTGAAAAGATAGTGTGGGGTCCAGAAGGGACCTCATCTAGTTACAAAGTTTTTTTTTTTTTTTTTTTTTTCGCTTTTTATCATGTTAGGAGGTCTATAAGAGGCCTCCTCTAGTTAAATACTGAGGCTGTCAATGTGCTGTCTTTCTTCGGAGTTATGGTTGTTAAGTTGCTGAGGATCTTGCTTTGGTTTGAGATGTTGGGTGATAAGAGAAAGTCCATTTGTATTGCGGTGGTCGGGTTTTTGGCAGGTTTCATATTTGGTCGGAGAGGCCGGCCTCGCGGAGGAAGCCCATTAATGCTGTGATTCTAGTCGGGTCGTTACTCAGTGCGTCCTTAATGCTGCCCGGTATGCCGTACAGCACTCGTGAGCCTTCGTATTGAGTAGAGTGGCAGATTATGTGTTCCACTGAACAGTTGGTGCGGCAGAGCTCACAAAATTTCCGGAACGGGCCGCTCCCAGAAAAGTTATGCGAGACTCTGGTATGGCCTGTTCTGAGTCTTGCCAGGACAACCTGAGTTCGGTGGTCAGGGGGGTCTTGCCATTTTCGTGTGTCAGCCTTCACTTTTCTAAGGAAAATGCTAGTTGATTGGGACCATGTATTTGACCATAAGTCCCAGATTTTGTTGGCAACCCATTTTTTCAGGTCCCCTGATGGGACCTCCTTGGTGAACAGTTGGGCTCGTCTTCCAGAAGCCGCTAGATGATCCGCCTCCGTATTACCACGAATGCCGCAGTGTCCCGGAATCCATACAAATGTAGTGTTTCTGGGGGCATATCGCTGAATGGCTTGGATCCATGAGTGCTTAATAGAGTCTGAGTTGAGGGCTAAAACTACACTTGCGGAGTCCGTAAATACGGCAATCGGCTTGTTTGAAGGAGTGGTAGCAGCAATAAAAGCAGAGACCGCTTCTGCCGAGAATATAGTGTACTGGTCTGGAAGTCGATGAAGTACGGACATTTGGGGGCCCGGAGTAACGGATAGTGTGGTTGCAGTATCTGGTTCTCTGGAGTTCCGCGACGGATCTCACAAGTGCCGTAGAGTTGGATCCTGCCTTGAACTTCTTCTTTATCGCCAAGTCAATAATGGGCCCGGGCAGGTTCCAATCTCTGGTTCCACACCAATGTAAGCTAGACACCGGGGGAGCTCCAGATTGGCGGTGGCTGAAAGGAGTTGTTTGGCCTCGGTAAGGAGGAAAACTCCTTCATCTGAGCCAGCTGTCTTCACCTCGAAGCTAATTGATCGGTTACAGATGGTCTGAGTAACTAGAAGGTTGAATGGTAGTACCCCACTTCCCACGCAAGCTGCAATTGCAGGCGTGGATGGTAGTAGGCCGGATGAGATACGGATTGCTTGGTGGTATGTAGAGGCTAGTTTCGTAATAAGTTGTTCGCGAGCGAGACAGGTAACTTCGATTCCATAAAGGAGACGTGATTCTAAAATTGTTCTAGCAACTCGAAGACGAATGGGCCGGTTACTGTCTGGGTGTCGACCTGCGATGGATCGTAGCAGATTAAGACGTGTCTTGCAGGCTTTCTTGACTTCGTCAAAGTGGGCAGAAAAGGTCAAATATCGGTCAATTCGAACTCCGAGGATACGGGCTGACCTCCTGATGGGAATAGCTGTTCCATTGATACAGATGGGAGTGTTAAGGACGGCATGATGGTGAGAGCAGATGTGCACTAGTGTGCATTTTTCGGCTGAGAGTTGGAAGCCAATGTCCACAGGGAGACTGCCCTTGTGGCAGCGCCCATCTTTCTACGTAGTGCCTTTATGGTTTTGTGAGTGATCAGGAGGATAATGTCGTCAGCGTACACAAAGATGTAAATTTCCTTAGGAAGGTTAACGAAAACTCCATTCATACAAATTAAGAAAAGGGTGACCGCGATAACCGAACCCTGTGAAAGTTCTCCCAACTTTGGGCTTTCGCTTCGCGTATAGTTTGCCGACATTCGTTCCATTTTGCACGGTAGTGAGCCAAAGCAACCTCCTTGTCGGGGTGGTTTTTATTTAATCGCTTGGCGGCACGAAGAGCCTTTCTCCTGGCTTTCACAGCGATTTTTGTGTTTGTCCCCCACCACGGAAGGGCTTTTCGTCCTGGGATGGTACTAGATCGAGGAATAGTGTCTGTTGCCGCTTGAAAAATCGAACCGATGTAGTCCGAGAGGTTGGTCGGTTCGGATTCTCTGCAGGTACCGGTGATTGCCTCTTGATAATTTGTCCAATCTGCTTGATTGTAGATCCAGCGTGGTCTACGAGAGGCTTCGGTTGGTCTACAGTCGAGTCGGATTTCGATGGGGTGGTGGTCGCTACCCATCGGGTCTTCCATGACCTTCCATAGAAGGCGATGGATTATTCCTGAGCTGGCGAAAGATACGTCAATTGCGGATTCCCTTTGTCCACTTATGAAGGTTGTGGATCCATCATTTAGAGGAGTTAGATCAACAGTTTCAGCCGCTTCCAGGACATCGATGCCCCTGCGGTTGTTTAGAGGGCTGCCCCAAGCTTGGTGATGGCCGTTTACATCACCCAGGAGAAGTATTGGGCCGTCGATGGAGAGGAGTAGGTCAATTAACTTTCCTTTAAGTTCAGGGATCTTCTGACAGGGAAGGTAAACAGAGATTACAGTGACTGCTAGCGGATATTCGAGTCTTATAGCAGCCACAGGTAGCTCAGTAGATAGCGGAGTGGTGGTGAAGGGAAGAGTTGCTTTGATTCCGATAGCAGTGCCGTGGCGAGTGTTGTGGTTGGTTCCCATCACCCAACGATATTGTCCCGCGAGAAGGAGGTTTTATGAGTCAAACACATACTTTACACTCTCTTCTCGTTACCTACAAGTACAACATATCATTATATCATCTAATGATTGCATAATTCCGAAAAATATAATTTTATAGCAAGTGAGTGGAAGCAACTCTGCTTTGTAGAAATTAAGAGGAATTTAGTGAATTTATAGTATGCGTCAGAAAATAATAAGACTCAAACATTTTTAATTTCATTCGAACTTAGTATATTTATCAACTTCAAACATAACTTGTAAAAACAAAACAAAAAATCGTCAAAGATTACGCTTCATTTTTATTCAATATGTCCGCTTCCAGACGGCGCCTGAATTCTTTGTTATAGAGGTTCGCAGAGAGTTCAAGTTCGGGTGACGATGTTCACAAACAAGTGCTTCAATGTTCGCCCATACACTGAAATCCAGAGTCAAGTGAGCTAGATGGCCACATCTTTTTGGACAAGAATTGGGGTAGGTTGTCCTTTGACGTATGGCTCCATCTTGACCAAAACATTCGCATCCTTGCCGTATGTTGATGTAATCCAAGGCAAAACATGATTCATAAGAATTCTTAAGTACACATCCGTGTTCACTTTCAGGCCTTCATTTTGTTGCCATCAGCATAAACCAACCCGAACACTATCATCCCTTCTGTATATTGTGAAAGATCCATTTTAAAACCGACGAAAGCAGATGGTACCTATAATGAGTCAATTTCCGCTCATGCTCCAATAACTGCCTCCTCACTACTATTACGATCAAATATCGTATCGTATTAGCTGATTAGAATTCATTTGATTTTGAAACGTTGTCTAACGTTATGGGTAGCATATGCTTGGAACGAAGGTTTAGATTATGCATAAAATAAGACATAAATGTAGTTAAATACGCACCACGTAGCTGCAGTTAGTTGCCAAAACAATTTTGCGCGGTTTCGAAACACGGAAACACGTTTACTCTCGGTAAAATATCACGTCGTAGAAATCCCGCCTAGGCGCTTTCCTGTATAAAGAACTTTTTAGTATTAATTCATACTTCCAGTTCAGGACTTTAATTTGTCATATACAGTATCGCAATGAATGAAATATCGCGATATTGAGTGACATTATTAGGACTTTAAGACTCATTTAGCCTCACTGCTGTTAGCAATCATTTCTTCTAACATGTGTCTTTACAACAAACTACGATTGATCTTACCTGAAGAAGAGCGAGCTTCCTCGCTTATGTTGTCCAGCGGCCCTCAGTTTGGCATAGCAGTCACGCCAATCCACGTACGGTTCCATATTGGGAAGGCTGCCAGCCTTTAGTCTAGAACAGAAAAAAAAACAACCATAATCATCCAGGAACAGTGTTGGAGTACCTATCAACTACCCACCTGGACGCGTTGACGATCATGCAAGTGGACGCCACATGGTACGGATAGAACATGCTCGAGACGACAAACTGCGAGATGCTCGAGAAGTAAACGCGGCCCTCCTGCTCCCGGATCACGTACTTGCTGGCCAGGTAGGTGGCCGAGCTGGCAATGACCAGACAGCCGAGATCGCACAGCAGTCGCGGAACGAAGCCGGTAAAGAACCCGAAAATGCCTTCCTGGGACCAAATTTCCCGGATCGACTGCCACACCCCGGAGTACATTTTCTCCCGGCCCACGAACTGGGCCATCATGCGGACCGAAATCACGTGGAATGGCTGCGAAATGACCACACCGGCCGTATGCACAACCAAGTTGCGCTTGAGCTGTTTCTTGAACTGCTCATCGAGCAGCTTGTCCTCGTCCTCCGCATTGATAGCCCCTCGTTCGTCCTTGTTCTTGCGTTTCGAATCGGAATCCTTCACTGCTTCGATTCCCAAATCGTCGGCGATCTTTTCGCTAAAATGCGCACTCAGCACATTGCCGATGATCTTTGCACTCAGGCCCCGGAAGCAACCGTAGAAGCCATCGACTTGCTTGATGTAGCCAGCTGCCGAATGGAACAATCGTCGTGAGCGTAAAATACAAAACGATCAAACGAGTAACTTACCGTACTGGAATACGTTCGGAAGAACTAAAGTCGGTTTCCCTAGCAGAGTTCGCCCCGGCACGGCGGCAATCGGTTCAAATCCAATCTTTTTTTTTATAGGTAAAATCACACCATTATCAATCATTACCATAATCAGCAGAAGCTGCTTATCGGACGCACTCACCTGCATCAGCACTTTGGCGTACTCGAACGGGTGCAGAGCGGTGGTCACTCCGAGCCGGAGTCCGAAGCGAACCCACTCACCAACCTCGTATTCGTTACCATTGTCAACCCGTTCCAACATCGTCGGCATTTCGCGATTGGAATCAAACGGAGAACCCTTACCGCAATGGTACCAGATCGATCGATAGTGTCTGAACCTTTCTGATAACTTTGGGAAATATTCACAGCGAGATGGAAATTTGAACGATATTTTTCCACCGCCGATTATCTTTTTTTTTTGGCTGCAGCTGTGCTGATTGTCAAAAAGTAATGTGATGAAAAATTGAGGGGCGGGACGTTGAGAAATTACGGAACGAAACAAATAAATGGAGATGGATTTCGATAGGATGGTTTTGAACGAAGCGGGATTTATTTTTATAGTAAACAAGTGAAGGGGCGAGACAAGCTGTACTCAGATTTAATATTTTTGCAGCGTGTGTTTAAATATTGCCGATTCACGGAAAAGTTTTCATGCATGCAAAGAATTTTCGCAGCTGTCATAGTTCTCAAATATTGACACAACAAAATAAATTGGAATCTGCACTCCGAAACTAATCACAACCGAATTAACCGCACGTTTAAAAATGGAAAGAAATGCTTTACGTATTCTAGTGACCCTCGAGTGACCCAAGAGATTAGATAGCTAACGTTTTCGACCTTTGGGCCAATTGCATGATAAAATTCAAGCATAACATGTAAAAATAAAAATCAAAATCAAAATTAACAAATCTATATTTTGCTTCTAACAGTTCTTTTTTTTCATTTCGTTTATTTGGAAGGCTCAAATGTTATAATAATAACTTAGCGGAGTCGAGTACATAAAATACCAATTTTGGTACTCAAAATACAAAAAAAATATATATAAAAATGCATTTTATCATAGGATTTTTCTGGGTGGCGATCGAAGCGGCGACAAAGCGATCTTCTCCCGTGCACGCAACTTCTTTCTTTTCCGAATTTGTTCCTCATTTTCATTGAACCCGAATCGTGATCGCTGCTGCTGCTTCTGAACGTCGTTTCCCGTTGCATGCTCTCCGCTACTCTCGTCGGTCGTCGGGGTCGTCACGTCCATTTCGTTATTTTCATTCAGCATCTCCAACCTCATGTCCGTTTCCTGGTCGCTAATGACTAGCGACGCACTTTCCACCACTACACCAGCATACGTACTGCTGCTGTTTTGTTTTCTTTCACTTTGCTGCTTTCCTTTTTCCTTAGGTTGCATCTCCGCTTCCTTCCCAGCCTTCTGCATGGGACAGGAAAGCTTCCGGTGTCCGTCCGCCTTGCACAGAAAACATTTATCTTTGTTGCCATCATAAAATATATTTCCTTTGCGATTGAAGAAATGTAATGACGTGGGGATTTCCTTCTTCACATCCATATATATATACCGCGTATCCCTGTATATACCTCAAAACACAGATCAGATGGAAATTTCTCCCGGATGATGCGTTTAATTTTTCCATATTTCCCCAGCACTTTATCCAGCTCGTTGTCGGGTACCTCTGGTGGCAAGTCATACACACGCACATATTGAATGTATTCACCAGCATGCGACATGCGTACCTTTGCCGTCGTTCCATTCGCATAATGGAAGATTAAATCCTCCGAATTGAACGTCAGGGCATGGAGCATCGCTTCCTCTGATTTGAACTTGATGAATACTCCCCTTTCCTTACCAATGCGATAAACAGCTTCCATTTCACTTCGATCCGCGTCGAGTGCTTTGGCGAAATTTACAATCTCTCCGATGTTTGGTTTAGCATCATGGTGGCTGAAGCTAAACTTGATGGTGTTTTTTACTTCACACATCTTGCACCGTAGCAACAAAAGGCACCGAACTGCTAGCAACGAACAAAGAGCAACTATATAATAGCGAGTCTCGAAAACAGGCTATCGCGTGGTTCACACCGAAATAAAAAATCGACTGCTGCTGTAGACAGCTGTGGGACAACTGCTAACAGTTCTAACCGATTATAAAATACATGCATTTCCTACGATTTAATGAAAAACAAGGTTTTAAATTATAATGAATTATGGAAAATATATTTATTGGATGCCCTATGTGGTCTTCTTTCATTGTTTTCAAAATGGTTTTGAATTTGAAGATAACACAAAAACTGTTAATACGCCCACAGTGAAACGTCATATGTGAAAAAACAAGGCAATCATTTTCAATCAGCAGATGCGTTAATACCCCATTCACATTACAGCGTATATCACGTGATATACGCTGTCTTGCAATGAGCACTCATACATCTAGTTTTCACTGGAAATCCTATGTATGAGAGCTCATTGCAAGATAGCCTATATTACGTGATATAGGCTGTAATGTGAACGGGGTATAAGTTTCTAAGTGGATACAAACTGGATTTTACAATTTAATTTAAGGTTAAAAATCTGAATGTTGACCAACAGACATAACACTCGCAAGTTGTTCTGCAAACAAGCATTTAATGGTCAATATAAAAGTATCTTAGTTGGCAGTACTGCCACCTGTGGCGCACATAGTCAATTCCCTTGCGTTTGACGTTTACACATTACATCTGAACATACTGCCCACCACAGTGTACTCAACAGATGGCGATAATTTTTAGCGACGATGTTTTACCATAGAGGTAACTCTACCCAACAAACAATTCAAAGTCACAAATAAGCATATATATTGAATAAATGCTGTATAACAGTGTACAATAGAGTGATGCAAAATTAGAAATTTTCGCTCCACAATACTTAAACGATTCTAAATCGGATCCTGACTAACCTCTCAAAATTTGAACCCATTTGGTGAGAAACTGAGATGGCACAAACCATTTGAAGTTTGTATGCGAATTACTATGGTAAAACCAAGAGTTTTGTTCATGTCTATAATTCACCATATCGGTCTACTTCAAAAACTTTCAACTGTACTTGCAGACCCAGCTACAACTTTGCTGAAGATCACTTTTTGATTAAATGCACGGATCGAAAGTTATCAATGGTTCAATGCGCTGATGTCTTATGATCATGCTCAATCAACTGCTCAGCAGGCAACATTGGTGTTTCTGGAGCGTTGAATAGGACACAAAAATCATGGCTACTATGTCACACTGCAAAATACAGTGTTGCCTATAGAGCAGCTGCTTGATCATGTCATAAGTTTACCAATCTCTTAAATAATTAATAACTTTTTCCTGTCTCGTTTTACATAGAAACGATCTTCAGCAAAGTTGTAGCTGAGAAAATTTTCTATTAGAATGGCTATCGAACTATTCCGCAGCTCAATATGGAAACAACTAGAAGGCAATGAACAAAAAGTTGAGATTTCCCATAGTAATTTACATGTAAACTTCAAATGGTTTGTGCGAAGTCTGTTTCTAACCAAATGAGTTGTAACTTTGGGAGGCTAATCAGGACCCGATTTGAAACCATTTAAGCACTGTGGAGCGTAAAAGTCAAATTTTGCATCAGTCTAGTGTACAATCTACAATGCTGAATAAAATAGGATGTCGCATTATGTGCTGAAAAAAACTCATTGAGATCGATAGATGCGCCTTTATTCCGCCGTTAGCTCTGATATCATTAATTTACTTATTAAAAGCTTTATAAACGTTGACTCTCTACCTGATTCAGATCCAAAAGTTTGATCTAATAACAAACTGAATAACCCTAATAAAAAATACCATAAACGAACGATAACCCAAATCATTGAACTATTCCACAAATGGTTTGGATGATACCCAGAACACGTCGTTAAGCAAATTAACCATACAATTTTTATTAGGGAAGTGTAATTTGCACATACATTGTCGCTTTAATTCGACTGTTTGCAATTGATTTAATAAAACGCTTTATTAGACGTCTTATAAATGTTTTCTAGCTCCATTATTAGATTTCATTGCATTGCTTTACAATATTGCTGTATGAAGGTGAATGTGAATACAGTCAGCATAATAGCTCTTATACCACTATGCGTCCATGTTTTAATTTCATGCTTTGTAAATGCTTTACAAACGGCGTATTCATTCATTATTCCACAACACTGCTTCAGGCTAACAACAAATCGAAATTGGTAGCATAGTGGTTACCGTTTCCGCTTTTTAAGTAGAATGTCGCGAGTTCAATCCCAGCCTCAACCCTTTTTTATTTATTTTCTACGCCTAATTAATTTAAATCGTAATCATAGATCGTATCACTCACGACAACCAATTCATAGATGTATCGAAAATAATAGCATCCTTTCCATCGAAATTAGAGACATGGAGAGGAAACGTTGGTCTCAGGTTAAACAACTATGAATGAATTAATCATTCTCACATCTCCTTGAATTAGCTAGAGTTACGGCTGGGAGTGCTGATAGGTTTTCAGATTCAAGCTTTTATTACTTCCTGATGAATGTGGGCGTCTTAGTGGAATACCTGTATAATGAGAGAGAGAAGGATTAGTATTTTCCATTTAATTCCACTACTTTATTTGCTTATCCTTGACAGATACGCGTATTTCGTCTACAATGTGCAGACTTCTTCAGTGTCTTGTACTTATACTCGACTAGTCGAGTATTAGTACAAGACACTGAAGAAGTCTGCACATTGTAGACGAAATACGCGTATCTGTCAAGGATAAGCAAATAAAGTAGTGGAATTAAATGGAAAATACTAATCCTTCTCTCTCTCATTATATTTTATTACTTATTAAGCTGCCCATATGATGCATTCTAGGATAGCTCACCAACAATCACACTAACGAGAACAACTCTGCTCTCTCCCGTTCTTATTTTCGGATTAATTATCCCGTATTTGAATAATCGATTAATAAATGTATAATAGTGTCTAATCAAACATTATTTCACATGAGAACCAAGCGTCTATAAACACCTTTATACCATCACTGTTTAAGGAAGTAATGATGTCTAATAAAACGCTGAATAATCAAAAATTTGATCGAATAAGCTCTGTTACAACTTTTGTAAGTCGAATAAAAGCTTCTCGACATACCTTATTCAACACCAAATATTTCGATGTTGTGGTTGAATAAATTCTCCAGATTTGTGTGAACAAAGCCTGAACAGAAGTTATTATTAAAAATAGTACAAGTATTATTAAGCATGAAGTGGAATAAAATCGTCAAGAAGTCGTTTCTTCAATAGGCAATTGTTTGTTGGAGTACCTAAATGTAATTTTTAATTTTATGAAGATAAGTTGCTCAGAATAGCAGCCTGTAATTCCGTACCAGAATCCACCTCCAATTTAATTTTTTTTCTGGATTCGTAGTAGCAAAGTTGTGCTAAAAGCTAAATAGTTACCTAAAAATACTACCTAAATCGTTCACAATCAGAGCCGGGCCACTGTTGAAAACCAAAACTACAACCCTGAAAAAACGAATCGATATTTTCGAAGGCGAACACAACCTATTCTTGCTAGTGATTCTGTCCAATTGTTAGGTATCCAAATTATAGTCATTCGCAAATTTATTATTTAATATATGGATGAATTATCTATTATTGAATAACTATTATTTACGATAATTACATGAAAGAAATAACATATAAACTACAAACAAAACGTGACTACTAAAATCTCAAAAAGATATTCTCACAAGTATATTTCACGCAACCAGGAATCTCAAAGCCATTAGACGCTATAATGATACTCTGCACATGTTAGACACAAGAAAAGGCCAAAAAGCAAGCGTCCGACACACAAAACCCGTCAAATCCACTGGCAGTCACAATCAACGATTCTACGAATCGCGAGCGCTCACGAATCATAAAACCGCTGACTGCGACACTCTGAAAGCAAAATTGACAGGCTTTATGCGCCAAACACCCGCCCTCCAATCTCCTCCCGCATCCAACAACACAAACCTCCATTACAACATCTAACGAATTCAAAACTCCGAAAATCACTCATCTATAGAAAGTGAGTGGAAGCAACCCTGCATGCAACTATTCTTCATGATACGCTTTGTCTGTCTATCTTTCTATTAGGCCTGTGGACATGTGTTAGCTTCGAAACTTCTAACCAAACTAGGAAAATTTTGAAATCACAAAAAAAAATTCAAATGTAATTACAAGCAAAATACATATTGATTATTTCACGCAAAACCGAGCAAGCAATATTAAATCTCTTGTATTGTATGCTAATGCTAATTGACTGTAACAAAAATAATATGCTTAAATAAAATAAAATATTAATAAAATGATATGCAAAATTTACTAGAAGGTCATTACTTTATTGGTGAGAAGTTTCTAATAAGCCCTCCCAGTTCCTCTGTATACAGAACAAATCTGATACTATAATCAGAATTGCTCAGTCTGCATGAAGCAGCCGATTGCATCAAGGAAGTTCTATTAACAACCAAGAATTAATCGTTTGAGGTATACTGAAGCATTGAGAAGGTGATATGTGTCACTATGGGAAATCATCATCGTTGCAAATATAAAGAAATTAAACATAACCCTTTGCTTCAGTACCGTCAACCTCCATGTCCATGGGGAGGGAAGTAGTGTGCCAATTTAAAATCGTTAGTTTAACTCGGCATTTACTTTTGCTGATATCTCTGCAAAACATCTGTTTGTTAGCTGATATCTCAGCAAAATGTTATTTGTTAGCTGAGTCTCGGCAATTGTTTTACTGAATCTCAGCTAAATAAATTGCAGAACTACTCGGATGTTGGAATCTCGGCGAAAAAATTTTAAGTTTGTAGGACTGACAATAAGGCTGTTCATAAGCTACGTAGACCAATTTTGGGAGGTTTTAGACCACCCCCTTTCCCTAAAGTGTAGTTTATGAAAAACCCTTATGTAGAAAATTATTCTTGCAAAATTTAAATTTTTTAATTAATTAATTTGTATTATTGTTCTTGTATTATTGTCTTGAAGCTTCTGTAGGGGTATGGAAAGAATTATGTTCTGTTCAAATTGTGGCCATCTTGCCCAATTTTCCGCTATTTATGCTTTGTTTGTGCTCTCGGTGGTCGCTTAACTTAACCACATCGCAGGTGTCTCATCACTCTAAAAAATCTTCACGTCGGATTAACGTGAGAACATAGGTGGTTTTCATTCACCCTATTTTCACGTAACTTTTACTGGCCGTGCAAAATTCAGCTTCGATTATCTGCGTAAATAAGACCTGATTTATACATATTGGTTACGTGAAATTTGGGTGAAAACTACTGTATTTATTGAAATGCTCTTTCAGCAATTAGACGTCAATAGAATTCGTATCTTCTCTACGGTACAGGAAAAAATCGGATCAAAAAAATAAACGCGCAAAAGGATGCATATGTTCAGCTAATATATTAATACATAACGCAATCATACCTTAAAACAGTGTTTCATCACAATAGATATCATATCGCATTGCAAAGTTAAATATTTCAAACTTATGCTACCAACTCCACGGACTGAAGATTTTCCTCCAGGAAACATCGTTGGGCCACAAAACTATGAAAACAAAAATTAGTAATATGTAGCAAAAAAAAAATCAATTTAATTCGTGCAGTCTTACCTATTGTTAACACCCCAACCATCGTCCAGTCCGTCGTCGGGTTTGGGAATTACCTCATCTAAATTATCGTAGATACTGTAAACCACTTCATTATGAGTGAAGATCACCTGCTGATGGCGTTCCGAGGGTGGACAAAATACCCTAAAAGAAAAAAAAAATTAAACACTAAGCATCATCCTGAAAGATCTTCCGAAACCAGACCACACTTACGCATCATACAGATTCCTCAACTGCACGAAATGCTGCCCATAGGCTTGTCGTGATGACCCATTATCGTTTATCTGACCACTCCAGTTCACGCAGACGGTCATGTGTCGATCCAGGCTGGAAATAATCTGGTTAAATTCTTCATTGTTTGTGCTCTCGTACACACGGATGTATTTGGTTTCGGTCTTCATCAGGAAACTTCCCGTCGAGTGGAAACTTGGCAAACATTTGATCATTTCGGCTTTGGGTGCCCGAATGGAAATCGTCGATAGCTTATCACTGATGTATTCCCGCACATCGGTTCCAAATTTCACGTCTTCTGGGCGTTTCTGGAGATTGCAGCGAAGACTAAGGGTTTCGTTCGTTTTGAGGCCCACTTTCTCGACAAAGTGCTTTTGATAGCCGGGATTTTTAATATCTACGGGAAAGGGAGAAATAAGCAACTGAGCGATGATGGCTGATGATGTTCGAAGAGCTTGGATACTCACAAACTATCTTCCGTGGGTTCAACTGATACGACGAACAGTACAGCACGATCTCGTTGACCGAAATTTCCGTCATCAGTGGATGGTGAACTTGATTCAGGTTTTTCACATTGATGTCGATGCCCAGCTCGTTCGTTAACGGATTACTAACGTTGCAATTGGCATCCAGAAGGAGCGATTCGTTCACATTGAAGTTCCAGGTATGTCGGACCAGTCGATGCCTGTAGGACGAAATTACTGTCTTGATACCTTTCATAGAGAATAAAAAATTACCCATCCAACTTACTTGAGCTTCGGATAATCCACCGGCATTCCATAGTAGATCAACAGCTTGACGTTCTTCTGCCCTTTGACGTACGGAGCCTGCAACCAGATGGTACTGGTTTTGGTTTCCTTGGGATTGATGACGCTGCCTTCGCCATCCTTGAAGGCCTTGAAAACGTACTGCTTCCGTGCTTCCTTCTCCTTGCCCAGATTTTCGTTAACCAAGTTGCGCAAATCCCGCAGAATGGACAGTGGAATTTCCGATTCTTCCGGATTCACCAACACGAATCGCGGATTATCGATACAGATGTAGATGTCGCTGAGTACGTTAACTCCGGCATTTGTCATGTGGATCTGGATTGGGATGACCTCACCGGCGAGGACTTCCGTTGGACTCTGCGAGAAGCTAACGTGCAGCGCTGGAGCTGGTGGAAGTACTTCGATTTCCAGTTTGCGATCGAACTGGGCCGGCCGGTTATCCTTTGAGTTGCTTCGAATCGGAAGAGCTTCGAACAGTTGCTTACCCCACAGGTTGGCAGGTTCCGTACTGCCTGCAGTGTTTGATGAGATTTTTCCTACGACTCCCAGAATCCTCAGCTGCCCGATACTTCTGGGAGTTATCTTAAGGGAAACCGTTTTAGTTTCATACTCTCCAAAGCCAACGGAGTCAACCGAGATGGTCGTCACGACATTATCGATTTCTTTTCGCTCTTCCGGTGTGACTTCGCCCATGAAAAGCGGTTTATTGGAGTAGATTTCCTGGGATTCCTTGCGGAATTCCCACAGGACGTTGATGGACTCGAACGTGATAGGAGGTTTGATTGCGTTCTCCAGGTTGAAGGAGATCTCGATCGGTTCGCCATGGACGCTTCGTGGATTATCCAAGGCGTGCGATTCTTGGGTAAACAGCGATTTGCTGGGTTTGAAAATCATGATAGATTTCTTTGATGCACTCTGCACCAACATCTCCTCCATTTTGTTCCAGATGTTCTCTTCCAGCAGACTAGACGAAATGGTTAAGTTCGTGGCAGGGATGAGCAGAGGATTGGCCACCGGAGGTTGAGACGTAACCAGAACTCGGGTCATGGGTTGAACGATCTTCGGAAGAGAGATTGTTAGGATATCGTTTGCATCGCTTTTGGCGAGTAATGCTTTCTGTGTGGCGAGAAAATCTTTCAGGAAGAACGCTTGCTGGGAAGCACTCTGAAGACTGGAAGGTCTCAGAAGATGAGCCAGACAGTTGCTTGCTTCTTCCAGCTTCTTCAAGTTGATGGCTTGCCTTCCGATGGTATACTGGATGTGATCTTCGGCCAAACTCCAGCCGCGATTTTCAAATACCTGATACGCTTGTTTGTACGTTCGGAATGAATGCTTTCTTTGGCCAGCTTTCGAGAATCGATGACCAGCAAGTACCGAATGGAATGCATACTTTCTGTACTGCGGAGGCGTAGCTAAAAGGAAGCAGTAGGCGGCTTGCTCTAGCAGAAGTGCTGAACGTAGATCCGAATCTTCACTGGTCATTCGGATCAACTGTTTAGCGGCTTCGTTGTAGAGTTTGGCCGCCCTGAGACACTCTATCGACAGTAAGGTAGCCCGGGTGGCAAACTGAGGCATCTTACAACTGTTCAAGTAGGTGACGATAGCTTCCTCCATGTAGTCGTACGTTTTACGATTAGCAGTACCTTGCATGTACGCTGCGAGAGCTGCCATTTCTAGTGCTCCTGCATAGTACTGCCAAGCGGAATCGGCATTGAAGTCTCGCTTTGCTTGATGGTATGCTTGGAAGGCTAGTGAATAATGGCCAAACATAAAGTAGAGGTCTCCCAGCTTCCTGGTTTGCAGTTCGGTAGATTCATTGGTGTAAACAACTGCGTTTTGATTGGTGTTCGTACCGGGTTTATTGGTCACAAACCATCGCTTGGTAGCGCTAAGTAACGAACGACTGACGCCCTTTTTGTTCGAGATTGAATCATTTAACACCCCCACCAGCTTTTCAACGTACGGAATCAACGCCCGTACGGCAAAGTCCTGCACGAAATGCTTCAAGTTTTCCAAGTCCCCAGCAGTTAGGAATGTACCATGAGCAATATCCGCATCACTTTCCACTGTCCAAACATTCGGGTTGATCGTTTGCTGCGAAAGACTGTCGATGCTGGACGTCAGACTGGAAGTCTCCTGTAGTTCTATCCCGATTTCCTGCACCGGACTAAGTGGATGTGCAATCACCTCGCCGATGATGATTCCCGAATCGGAAGCCGTACTGCTACCTCCAGGAGTTAGCGACATCGATTGAACCGTAATCGGCATTGACGTTACCGATGCTGCATCCTGAGGAGTTTTCGGTGCGCTATCTATATCGGCTGTGGTTGGTTCGGCACGCTGATGTTTCTTCAGATAACGCAACCATGGATCAGGACAGTCCATCGGCGGTCCCTGATGGGAGTTAATTTGCAACAGAAAGCATTTGTGGTCACCGTAGGTCGATTTAAGGCCCTCAAATGCTTGCTGAGCTCTAGAAACAATGTTCATCAATAGCATCTTTAATCGAACAAATAAGCCTTAACACTTACTTCCCAATATCTCCGGAACAACCGTCATGCAGCATGACGTAGCAGTTCAGCGAATCGGTAGAGAACCACTTTGGCAGCCGCGGTGGCGTGATGTTTTGCATCATTTGGATTTTTTTCGTCAGCTGACCGGCAACCTCCAGCGGATTCAAATCGATACTGGACACAACGATCAGCGAACAGAGCAAGTGTCTAGTGAACTCATGATCCGAAGGAAATTGCACGGTCAGAAACGTTTCACGCCACTGCTCGAACCATGGTTCCGACACGGGAATGTCCACGAAGGTCCCATCTTCCAGCTTGATTGGCCGTAGCTTTTCACCAACGCTCGACGTAACCGATTCGTTGAGCATCTTTTTCGCCAGAATCGTCTGCGGCGGTCGCCAGTTGACATCGCACACGTTGACACGGAGACCCTTGATGGACACGCTCGTACCGGCGGTGTCGCGGAAGTGCGCTGAAATGGTTGAAATGTGGGTATCGGTAAAGTAATTACAGGCAATTGAGGCGTCCTTACCATCCGAAGACAATTTTAGGAAAGGCTGCAACATTTCGACGAAGGATAGATTGTTCTTCTGGCATAGTTCTTCGGCCTGGGGGGAGATGATTGCTCCGACGGTCGGCGAGAAGATATTCTGGATGACCTCCTTCGAGGTTAGGTTTTGGCCGGTCAAGTGAATCATGATGCTTTTCGGATTGACGATGAAAGGCAAGTAGTCGTTAAAGGCTTTTGATATTTCTGTTTCCTGCGTTCTTAGCTATATTGAAACATAGTTTGCTAGATTTACTTATTAGTTTAAAAGGTTAGCATCATTTATATTAATCACATTGTTCGAGTGTCTTAAGATTTTTTTTCTAGCAGCAATTTTGAAACCAAAATGAGCAACATAGAATAACCATGAACGGTTTTATCAGATTACAATGGACCACTTAGTCTGAACTCCAATCCCTCCAAGACGACGCAGATCAGTTCAACCAGCTGTGAGAGTTTCGCTGTTCGAAATACGGGTAGAAGGTTAGAAGATCGGCTATCATTGATCCCTTACGAAATGGATCTTCGTAGCAATGTGCTTCATTGTTGAGCTGAATTTCTCCGGTTCTAGAGTCTTCAAACAGCTTTCACGCATTAACACTCCGAACACGATTCCTCCGGTAAAATGTGTAACGGTAAATCGGCAATGTTTGAAATATTATTGATCAGTTGTTTATCAACACATTTTAAATCTATTGATACCAAATAAATCTTTAAATGTCTGTAGTTTCAAATGGTGAAAATAGATTTAAAATTGATCAATAAATAGCTGAGGTATGATTTTTCAAACATGACAAGTTTGTCGTTACACATTTTACCGGAGGCATCGTGTTCGGAGTGTTAACTGTATAAACCAGAGAACTTCTTGCATTCCCCCTGATAAAGCTATGGATTCTGCCACTGCCTCTATTGAATTTTGTTTTGGACAGGCTCAGCATACAGCTCCTCAATTTAGGTTCGTTTTACGATCTCTTCTATTCTCAGCCCGGTCAGCAGCCTGGGGCCACATTGCGCATCTCGAAACGAAACACTTTTTGTACGAATGCCCCTGCTCTCAACTTTGTTGTTGTTTGAAGCTATTATTCTGGGGAGCTCTCAACACTGCCAACCGATGCATGACCCTTAACCGTTTCAGAATTAACCTAAAATATTCCTGGGTTTCTCCCTAGAAAACTCCACAATTCACTAATCTTTAATAATTCCTCGTGAATTTGCGCTAATTTCTTTAAATTAAAAAAAAAAAAACTATTTTTCTCGGAATATTCACACTATACACTTAGAAATAATCCTAGAATTGTCTTGAGAATGGCATGGAAATTCAGTTCGGAAATTCGGAAAATTCCCTTAGTATTCCCATGAGAATTTCTAGAGAATTTCTTTAGAACTGTTCGATTCCTTAGAACATAATTCGAGCAGTTCAAAATGACGTTTCCTACTACTCGAGCTTTTCCGTGAAACAATATTTTGATATATTTTTTTTTTCTTTTAAGATCCTCGAGAAAATAGCTTGATAAATCTGACATTTAGTGCGTCATTTTCGTGAAATCACTGGTAGGAAGGTCGTAAAAATGATGTTTCGTATCACTTGAACTTCAAAATAAAATCATATTTTAAGATCTTTTCTTCTAGCACCACAAAAGCAGCCGGTGGAAACTAAGGATTTTAAATTTGCTCACTATTTGACTAACCTATTGGTCCCAAGCAAATCAATTAAAGAACCCCATTCTAGTCAAAATTCTAGTACTACACGATGGTTGTTTTGATTAGCTATGAAAATTTGACAGATAAAATAAGGGGTTCGTGGATTTTCCTATGTTTTGAGGGGTTCATCGATTAGCTTGGGACCGAAGAGAGTACCATCAGAGCTGAGCCAAAAAGTTGAGCACGTTTTTTCAGGACCTTCTAGACTTACCCTAATAAAAAATTACCACAAACGAACGATAACCCAAATCATTGAACAATTCCACAAATGGTTTGGATGATATCCCGAACACGTCGTTAAGCAAATTAACCATACCATTTTTATTAGGGTAGAGTTACCTCTATGGGTCTATGGCGGGCTTTGACGGACATTCACGGTTACGATTTAAAAAAAATGTCAACAACAATGAATAAATAACATTTTGAGACTTGTGCACTGCGTAGGCATAGAAATAATACAGCATTGCCAATAACTTTAAAGATCGAAATTATTTCAAACCATGGGTGCCAAACAGTGCCATGAGTGTGCCCAAGTAGTACTTTGGCACACTGTGCGGAGTGCCCTACCCCTTGAGGTGTACAATCTTTAACATTTTCTAAATGAGGAGGGTTGACTTTATTTTACCTTTAACCTCATCTTAAGCAAAGCTTCAAAAATTTTGATAAAAGTAGGAATGGGCGATGTCGATGCGATTTTTACAGAATCGATTTTTTTGCCTCGAAAAATCGATTTTTTTCATCCGATCTTTTTCTGTTCGATGTTTGACAGAATCGATTTTTCAAAGTTGATATCGATTTTTTACTCATTTAAACTTTTTTATAAAGCATTAAAAAAAAACAAAACGCCTAAATTACCAAAGGAGAAAATAAAATCGCCGAACTCTTTTTATGTTGTTGTTGATTCACGGAGAACAAATTCGTTAAGTTAAGATAACAATCCTAATAGTTACTTTCACATGGAAAAATATTGTTGTTTGAAAGAAACCTATAGATATTCCAACATTAATTTGATCGTCAACTCAATAATATCTACCTAAAAGATTCAACTGTTCATCTTATACTCAATTCAACTATAACTTTGATCAATTATAACAACTGTCAAATCGACAGTGAGCATGCATAAGGGCCTATACGCGATGATCGATTCTCTTCGTCGATTTTCTCTTTTGTTAATAACTCGCTAGATTTAACGTTTCTCGGTGCGTTTGCTGTTGCTTTTGATAGCCAATACAACCTGTTACTACTCTGCATTGAACAAATTCTAGAAAATTGTTTCGATTAACTGTAGCAATGCAAAGAGAAAATCGATGAAGAGAATCGATCATCGCGTATTCGCCCTTATGCATGCTCACTGTCGAAATGTAATTTAATTGTATAATTTGGTTTCAAATGATCATCATAAATCCACATACTTTTACCTTGTGATGCGTAGAGCAGGCAATAAGATAGCTGGCTCTCACGCAGATGAACACGGTTCAACTCTTAGTTCACCTTTTTTTTTGATTTTGCAGTTGTGTTTTTGAGATCGATAAAGAAGCAAAACATTAAGGAAGTTTGTCGATAATGAAGAGCAGTTCGTTTAATAAACATTGTAAAATTTTGCTTCCCTAACAATAGTTTTCTTGAATCAACTAAAGCATAGTTGTATTTGGAAGTTTGACGTTTGTCCATCTACTGAAAAATATAGTTGAACCAATCGAGGAGCCAACTATGGACTATAGTTGTTGCCCTCTATATATAGTCAAATCAACTATAGTTTCGGGTTATCTCTAAAACAATTGAACAATATAGTTATTTTGACCGGAAAAATAATTGCGTCTGCTATAATTTGTTCTCCGTGTTATGTTGAATAAAATGTTATCATTGAATTCTTGATAAAAATGATTAACAAAATGGTATTTCACTATCCCAAAAATATGTTTTTATTTAAAATCAAGCGACTTTAATTTCATCGTCCTCAAATTTTGCTAAACACCCTTTCAATCTTGGGCTTTATTTGTTTGTTACTTTTTATGTTGTGTGTACTTTGGACCCATTCTTTCTAATTCATCCAGCTGATTTTGTTTGCATAAAAAAACACGCACTCCTTGATACAAAAAACATTGGAAAGGTGAGTTTTAATACCTACACACTAAGATTATTTAACAGATTTCTGTAAAATTTTACCGAAATCTCAACAGCTGAACGTTCGGTAAACAATTTTACAGTTTTCCTGTAATTATTTACAGATATCTGTGAAAAATTCACAGATAATTGTGAAACATTACAGGAAATCTGCGAAACTGTTTACCGAACGTTCAGCTGTTGAGATTTCGGTAAAATTTTACAGATTTCTTTGAAAATTTCTAAGTGTGTACAGAAGATTTTGAAAGCTCAGATATAGAGTTGAAGTTGAATAACACACACTCCAAAAAATATGCACGTCCGATCTACGTGAAAACATAGGTAGCTTTCGTCCATACTACTTTTCACGTAACATTTACGTTAATGTCATGTAGCCAAAAATATTCGCATTTAGTGGTCAACGTGAACAGTAAGGTAAATTTTACGTGATTTCCACTTAACTTGGAATAGATTTTCACGCAATGTTTACGTGATTTTTAAATGATATTTACTGACATTTATTGTTAATATTACGTTTACGTTCCGTGATTTTTACTAATATTGAAATGGAATGTTTACGTGATCTTGAAGCAACGTTTACAGGATCTAAAAATACCAAGAAAATAATTTTTAATCATTTTTAGATTTTTTAATTAAACGTCAAGCATTTCTCTATTGCCATTACAAAATTAACACTGAACATTTCGTTGCCTCAAATCTTTGATCAGGACCATTCTGATGCAATATCTGTTTGCGCTTTCTTATTCAGAGTTATGATATTGATTCCAGCCTCTGAAATCTAAATAAATACAATTATTTGCGCGGTCTTCGAATGATGTAAAATAGTATAAAAACACCTTCTAGTTTATGCAGTGTTAGTGTTAGGAAATCCAAAAATGAGAGCAACTCTTCCTCTAATGAAGTCGACACCATATTGAATAACTTTTTCATACATGTAAATCACGTAAACCCATTTCACGTAAGCACTTTCATCATCAGCTCCAGTGAACATTACATGGTATGTTTGTCAATTTCACTACCATCATGTAAAAATGGAAGTTGAAGTAATCGTAATGGCTACTTGATTTTTCACGTAGGTTGAACGTGTATACTTTGTAGAGTGTACATGCTTATCACATTCTTTTTACGTGAAATTCCCGTAGTATCAACCGACATGAAAATCACGTAAATTTTATCAAAATTACATTTGACATTGATCTGCGGCACGTGAAAATGATTGAAGTGGGGTGTTTAAGGGGTTACGTGATTTTTCACGTAGCATCAACGTGAAGATTTTTTGGAGTGCACTTAGAAAAAATCATGTAAATTTAGGTGCTCTGAGCTTGACATATACGAGCGTCAATTTTGACATAAAATTGTGTCATAATAGACGTGAAATTCAACTCAATAAAACGTATTTTTCGTCGAGTAACGAACTTTTCTGTCTCGGAACATTTAATTTTACATTACATGTTTGTTTACGTCTCATCTTTTTTGTCAAAGATGGATTCCGTCACATGTAAAATTAGGTATTTCTAACTGTGAAGCTAAATATTCGCAATATTTCTTAATAATTCGGTTTCAATATTTAAATAGAGTGCAATTGCTTTTGTGAATTGGTTTTATACAAATAAATGCTCACACACATACACTAAAACAACAGGAAGAGGAATATTTCGTCTAATAGAAGATTATAAAGCATAATTCAAATATTTAAAAAAATCGATTTTACTCGAATCGATTTTTTTTTCTTCGATATTTTAGAGGATCGATTTTATAGTCAGTTTTAGAATCGATTCGACAACATCGATTTTTTGTTTCAAAACGCCCATTCCTAGATAAAAGGCGGTGAACAAATGTTGACGGTTAGGGGGTGACACCCAAACCATCCGCCCGGGTGTCACCGAATCATGCAACGCCAAAAATCTTAAATAGCGGAAATGGTTCTAATGTTGGCCTATGGATCTAAGATTGGGCCTATCGCTAAAAATCTGCTATTTATCAATTTTAACTAGATCAACGCGTCATTGAGACGGTACTAATGGATATTTTTGGTCGCTCTTTAAAATTTAGTCGATTGCTGAATTTATGTATGGGCCCAAATCAGGGGCCTTTAGGCCGGCATTACATCCATTTCCCCTACTATGACTTTGAGAATCATACATTGAATTTGAACTTCACTGTTTATACTTATGTTTTGTCATTCAGCCTTTCGTATATTTTGTAGCATTTAAGTGACCGGCCGTTACCGGTCTCCTTACCTTACATAGGAGTTTCACTCGTCTGATTGGCTGCCCAACTTAAATCCGTATTTTCGGCGCTTTTTTCGATGCCTATATCAAACGATCGATACGTACGCAAGCAGAATGGATTATGCGTTTCTTCTAGCGAAAAATCAGGACAAAAACACTAATTTTTCACAATTTTTCACAATTTTTCACGTAAAAATTACCGACCGCAGTCCAACTCACCCAAATCCGAATCATAACAATGGAAAGAATTGACAGCTCGCAACAGAAGTAAATAATAAGGGCGGGATCGGTAATTGGTTCAACTTATATCCCGCCCACCTTATCAGTCGATTGGTGTCAAATCGGTGTCGGATTGTGTAAACAAAAACAATAAAATTAGAGCCGTCCGTGATTTTTTACAATTTATCACTGAAATTCAATCGTTTTCAAGCTTGCTGGTTGTGTAAAACACAAACAGGTATGTCTGCATTGTGTTGTAAATGAAAAATCACTTAAAATTTCCTTTTTTTTTTATCAGCTTAGCGATGCCGGTCGAATGCGGTCGCTTTTCACCGATGACCAAGCTGTACATCAACAGCAGTGTGTTGTCGATCGCGTTGAATGCCACTTTTTTCGCGTTCGTAATCTACGCCGACAAGCTGTACGACATCGGTAAGTGTTGGTCGTCGTATGTGTTACTGTTACTTCCGGGTATCGAACTGCTGAAGGATTACTACGTTCGGAATGCGTTCCAACTGGAGGGGCTCGCCAAATCGTCGTCAGCCAGCGGCACTAGTAGTGGGCTAGGTCAACCCGGTAGTAGGCTTCCGAAGAACCAAACAAAGCGACCTTCCCCCGTCAGAGAACTGATCGGTGCTCTGTTGGTCTTCCTGCTCACCATGCTGTTCTATGGTTTCATATGCTTGATTCTGGGCGCACCTCTGGATCAGTATGAGGAAACTACCTCCCTGGCATTGACACTGACCACGTTGACCATCTTCCCCGTCATTCTGTTCATTGGACATACGGAAACGCTTCAGCTACTGTTCACGGAAACGCTAGAGCTGCGTACCCCGTTGGCCAATGGCTATTTGAAGCTGCTGAAGAACAACTGCATCGGGGTGATTTTGGGTGCCTGGGGAGCATCGGTAGTGGCTCCGCTGGATTGGGATCGTCCCTGGCAAGTGTACCCGGTGCCAAATGTGGTGGGAGCCATTGGGGGTGCCTTCGGGATGAGCGTCTACACATTGCTCAGTACGACCTATTATGCGTTCTGCTGCAAGGCCGGCACGAAGAAGCAAATGGTGTGAGGTGGGTTGACCTGACCGGTTTGGTATTCTAGTCGAGAGTGTGTTTTGATTTATTTAAAAACTAAACGTACAACAATGCAACATTTTCCTAAATATCTTACATAATATCAATGAAGTATTAATAGGATAGCTTAACTTCTTTCGACTTCTTTTATAATAAAAAAAATCAAACAAAAATGCATGGTCAGTAGAATTGATTGCTCTTCGAAAATTCCTGTTATCTACCAACTTATTAAATTTGAATTATTTTCTCCGAAATCCGCTTATAGTTCCACAAAATTAATAAGAAATAAGGCAAATGAACTCAACAACGACTAGCTTTTGGTTAACAATAACGTTTATTTCATGGTTATTCATCAGTTTAAAAAAATCAACTGTCTTTTTTGTGATCTACCCGCTTCCATCCGCTGTGGCCACGGATTCCATATTGCTTTGAACGCAAAATTTGAATCCATCATGCCACAGGAAGAAGCCGGTAAGGGTTTAAAATGGGCGCAAAAGCGCAAAGCAAAAAACTTAACACTAGTACATTATTCGATGAAATATTATCGTTCCGTGTGTAGACGTAGGTAGATGGTACGTGGGGAAAATAAAATACTGATCAATCGGATATTGATATGGCGATGGTGATTGCTTGTTGTTTGATGGTCATCCGATTAGCCCAGGAAGAGCAGACGCTTCAGCTTGCGCCACGCGAGGAAGGCCTGTGGGTCCTGGGGGTTGATGACGTCCACTCCCTGTCCCTCGACGGGGTTGGCGAAGAGGGACTCGTCCTGGACGGCGGGTACGGCGGACACCAGGGCCACCGCTAGCACCAGGAGGGCGATTGTCTGTGGATAATAGCATAATAGAGATAATAGAGTCCATTACGTTGGTTTCTTGTGAGGGAAAATAATCAACGAGTGATGGAACAAATCCATGAACGCCTATATAAAGAATCCAATTTGTCAATAGCTAATATTATACAGTCATAAGCTCACATGTAGCTATTTTAAAATAACTTGTGAATACTACAATTAAAGACGACCTTTCTAGGCACTTATCTGAAATTCTGCAAAGACACGTGAAGTTTTTAAGATCTTCTCAGATCATCCATGCTCTTGTCGGATAATCCCTGAACCTCTCTTAAAATATATTGAAGTAGCCCTGGTCCCCTCCATAGATGATCGCTGAATATCTACGAGGTTTTATAAATCTCTCGGAAGTTCACCGATCTTCTCTGAACTCTAAAACTCTAAAACTAGAATTCTCCTAACTAATTTGTCATAACTTCACAGCTTCTTCTTTTCATCAGTTCTCCTTGATGCTCTCAAAAGTTCTCCGAGATTATCGACTGCTTTCTGACTTTCTCAGAATGGCTTTATCAGAGTTTGTACACTTCTTGTTTCGTAGTTTAATTATGTCTTTCAGTTATCATAATAAAACTCCAGTACCAAGAAACAGAAACCCAGGAAAATTAACAAAAAATGTTGATTGGAATCTATACAAAAGTTAAAATGGACAGAAGAGAAAGTCAAGAAAAGTTCACAGAACTTTCAATTTTTTTTAACTAGTTCGTTTATTTGGAAGGCAGAATCGCGTTAGCTTTACGGAGCCGATTGTTCATTATGCTTTGTTTGTAACAAAAGTCACTTAATTCTATGTCTAGTAGGAGTTGGGTCGAATACTGGCGGCTTACCCGAGGTTAGAGAGGTACATTGTCGAAGGATAGGATCAGGGGAGGAGCTTGGGGGTAGGGTTTCGTTGTCTCATCAGAGCGTTGTCGCCAGTACGAACGGTAACTTCCGAATTGTCCAAGGCAATATCAGAAAGACTCAAGGAACATCAGAAAAACTTAGAAGATGTTCAAAGAAATCTGATAAATCTTCAGATAACTTGAGAGCAGTTCAGCAAAACCATAAGCGCTGCAGGGTAGACCACAGAAATTTAGAGAATTAAAAAAAAGAAGTCTTGGAAACCATGGAAAAGATTCAGGTACCGTAAATCGGGGTGACATTGGGCTAAAATTGAAAAATGTTTATTGATGCAAATAATTTGAATATACAGAAAATGATGACTAGCATATGTTTCTTGAACTCGTGGAGTAAACCCTAAAAAAATAACCATAAACGAATGATAACTCAAATCATTGAACTATTCCACAAATGGTTTGGATGATACCCAGAACACATCGTTAAGCAAATTAACCATACAATTTTTATTAGGGAAGTGTAGATAATATTAACCAGTTGTTTTATTTAAATAGTGCTGTTAAGTTAAGTGCATTAAATAGTAGCAAAAGCACGTTTTTAAAAATGTCCACAGGCAAACAAAAGTTTGAACACACTTTTATGTGAATAAACGAGGGTTACACGCGATCTTTAGCCATGCATACGAAGTACATTGTGATCACATGCAAGCGTAGGTAGTCCTAAGAGCAACGTTACATTTACATATTTTAAGATGTTCTAACCAAATTTATCTTTTTGGCCCAATTTTATAATAATATTTTCTTTGAACTCTAGTCAAATATATCATCAGAACTAGTTCTGAATTATTCTCAGAAATCGTTGGAATTCTCTTCTGAACTTCCTTGAGACATTCCTCAAAATTTATTTTAAAGATGTCTTGGAGTTTACCGCAGAATAGAGCAGTTCCATGCCAAATGACATCTGTCGTGACCTTCTCCGATTTGCAAGCAATTTTGCATAATTGTTTGTTATGGTCAATCAATTAAAAAATAAAATAAAATGGCGTATTCTATATTTTTCAACAAATCTTAACTTGAAATCGTAACTTCCAATCGAAATGACGTCCGAGACAATGTTGTAGGAAAAAATAATTGTTTTCATGAAAATTATGTACGGTAAAAAAATTCTAGAAATTTTGAGTAAAGCAACCAAAAATAATGTTTAAAACTTAAATATCTAAAAATTATCCTAATGAATATTTATTCAACATTTTTCATTAAAAAGCTTATGAAATGCTATCTTCTGTGAAATTTTTATGTTGGTCACTTAAAAATTATCAAAAGTCATAGAACAACAACTTTTAAACACATTTTTGATCATTTTGTTTAAATTTTTCTTTGAGAAATTTTGCACAGAAAACAATATATTTTAAAGGTTTGCAAAATCGTTTCTTATGCAAAAATTTATAAACAAAAGGTTTGACCAAAATGTGTTGTTTTATTGTTTTTGGTAAATTTTTAAGTATCTTACTCATCGGCGCCAGTGGTGTAGTGGTAAGCGTGATTACCTCTCATCCCAGCAGGCCTGGTGTTCAATCATATAACATCTCTGATCACGCACACGATTTTTTTGAGAGAATTAAAATGGCTGATCTTTTGTTCAAATGGGAATGATAACAAACAATTTTGCAAAGTTTCATGCAAATCGGAGAAGGTCAAAACTGAAAATAATTTTTTTTTTGCTATTTAGCCTGGAACTGCTCAATACGATTCCTTTGGAATTTTTCTCGAAATTCCCGTAAAGTTTTCTTAAGAATCTTCCTCAGCACATATTCCATTGACACTATTTCAACACTCTTTAAATTCGATTTGTAATTTTCTTTGAATTCTCAGCATAACTCTCGGAATTTTCATTAAAATTCACCAGCTATTCTCCTCACGAGCCCAATACAATTCTTCTCAGAATCTGTTAGAATTTCTCCTTGATGTTCTCCGCAAAACTCCCTTGGAATTCTTCTAACAAGAACCTAAGAATTCTATTAAAAAAAAATTTCCTCTACCCAGAAATTCATTTGTATTCAAGCAAGAATTCCTTGGGACCAAAATTATTTCGGAATTCTGGTAAGAACTCCTTAAAATTTCGAATCTTCCTTAACACATCATTTCTTTTTGAACCGTCCTCAAAATTCCGCAGGCATTCTAGACAGAATGGAAAATTATTCGAACTGTTAGAACTCTGACAATCTTACAGGGTCCATAATTTTATTTTAATCTAAGATCATTAGGACATTTTGAGTATTTTCCTCAGCTCAAAATTCTTGAAAAATTAATCCGATTCTTTGTTTTTGTCATCGAGATTTTCAGTACGACTGGTTCATTTCCCTTCTGTGTTTTTTTTTTTAAATCTACGATCTCGTCGATTCTTAAAAGTCACAAATCTAGATAAACATGTGAAAAGGGTCAATGATGCAATTATGTAAACAATTACTTTAAACTGCTATACCGTGGATCCCCGTTAATTTAAACGACACTTCGTGCATATTAACGGGATTTCAAGTAACCCTACGACCATCAGAAAAGTGAGAGTCTGTTAGCCTTATTTGCTGTTTTGTTTTGATTCTGCATTTCGTTTCGCATCGTTCAATTTCGTTTTTCTCCATTCCATGTGCTAAATGACGTTTGAGTAAATTTTAGTTTGCACGACGTGCAGATTAGCGGGGTTCAAACTAAAAAGTGTTCAGATTAAAAAAGGTCAGATTACCGTTGGTTCGCAGTATTAGCAATCCACTCGACCACAAAATGTATGGATTTGAAAGGTGAAGATTTAGGAGAATTGAATAGTGAGGGTTGAGGAGAAGCTCACTATACTATTTTTTTTATCCATTAATTTATTTGTAAGGCTCAAACGCGTTAGCTTTACGGAGTCGATTCTTACAGTTTTTTATTAATTTGAAATAAAAGAGTTTATAAAATTAGTTCATTTTTTCCTAGAAGCCGGTTGTTTGGTGTTAACTTTCTCTCGCGGCCGCAGTTTTCTTCTTTCTTCCGTTTTCTGTGTTTCAATAGCAGTTTTCAATTTCTTCGCGATCAAGAACAATGGATGGCTTTCGGTTTCAAGCTGACTTCCTCTTGCTGCTTCTTGTTCTTCTTCCATCAAACACCTCAATAGCATCCGCTGAAGCATCGCCGGCTAAAACACCCGCATATGATGTACAGGTATCCACGCTGCTAACACTTTGGGCTTCGTCCGGGTCACGTTTTTCCGTATCCGTCGTTTGTTGTTTTTCGAGCTTCCTGCGAGGTTTCCGCTTTGGGCAAGAATTCATCTGGTGCCCCTCAATCTTGCAAACAAAACACACATTCTTGTTCCCGGGATAAAACACGTTTCCTTT